TCGTTCGAAAGGATTGAGAGTATTTGAGAAACAGGGAACAAACCGGTCAAAAGGGAGTGCAGTATTTGAGAATCGGGGAGCAAACCGCTTCTTCACACAACAGAATATTGCAGAAACAAAAGAGCAGACCGCCCGAAAGGGACTGAAGTAGAAGCATACCGCTCGAAAGAGGTTAGAGTGTTGGCGAAGCAAAGAACAAACCGCTCCAGAAGGACTAGAGTATTTGAGGAACAGAGAGCAAAACGTTCGAAAGGGACTAGAGTATTTAAGAAACGGGGAGGAAACCGCTCGAAAGGGACTAGAGCATGTGAGAAGCAGAGAGGATGAGCTCGAAAAGGACGGGAATATTTGAGTAACAGTAGTAAGCAACCGCTCGGCAAGAACTGGAGTGTTTGAGAAACAGGGAGCACCAACCACCCGGAAAGGACAAGAGTGTTTGAAAAAAAGGGAAGCGAACCACTCAAAGGTATTAGAGTTTTCGAGAAACAGGAACAAACCGCTCGAAAGCGACTGCAGTGTTTGAGAAGCAGGAAGCCAAGGCCGACAGTGTACAGCATTGAGAAACAGCCCGGACAAGACTGGCATACTTGAGAAACAGGGAGCAAACCACTCGGAAGGGACAAAAGTTTTTGAACAACAGGAAGCAAACAAACTCCTCGAAACGGATTAGAGTTGAAAAGCAAGGAGCAAGCTTCTCAAGGATACTAGAGCAATTGAGAAAAAAAGGGAAAAATCGCTCGAAAGAGATTGGTGTACTTGAGAAACACAGAGCCCAGGGCTCGAAAGGGCCCATGGCATTTGAGAAACAGGGAGCGAACCGCTCGAAACGGATTGAGGTATTTGAGAATCAAGGAGCAAACCGCTCGAAAGGGACTAGAGTATTTGAGAAACAAAGAGCAAACTGTTTGAAAAGATTGCAGTTTTTTTGCAGGGAGCAAACCTAGCAAAATGGACTAGGGTATTTGAGAAACACCGAGCAAACCGCTCGAAAGCAACAAGAGTATTTGAGAAACGGGGAGCAATGCACTCGAAAGGGACTAGAGGATTTGAGAAGTGGGGGCCAACCGCGAAAGGAACGAGAGTATTGTAGAAACGGGGAGTCCGCTCGAAAGGGACTAGAGTGTATATGAGAAGCACGGAGCAAACTGCCCGAAAGGGAGCAGAGTAGAGTAGTTGAGAAACAGGGACTGAACCGCCCGAAAGGGACAAGAGTGTTTGAGAAACATGGAGCAAAATGCTCGAAAGGGACTGGAGTGTTTGGGAAACACGAAGCAAACCGCTCGAAAGGCACTCGAGTATTTGGGAAACAAAGAGCAAACCGCCCGAAAAGGATTGCAGTTTTTGCGATTCAGGGAGCAAACCAACGATAGCGACTAGGGTGTTCGAGAAACAAGGAGCAAACCGCTCCAGAGCAACAAGAATGTTTGAGAATGGGGAGCAATACGCTGGAAAGGGTCTAGAGTGTTTTTGAATCGGCGAGACAACTGCTCGAAAGGAACAAGAATTTTAGAAACAGGGAGTGAACCGCTCGAGAAGGACTGGAAGCAAACCGCTCGAAAGGGACTGGTGTAGTTGAAAACATGCAGCAAACCTTTCGAAAGTGACAAGGAGCAAACGCTCTAGCATATTTGAGAAAAGAGCAAACCGCTCGAAAGGGACGGGGGTATTTGAGAAACAGGACCGAGAGTATTGCAGAAACAGGGAGCAAATCGCTTGCAAAAGACAAAAGCTTTTGAGAAACAGTATTTGAGAAACGGGGGGCAGACCGCTCGAAAGGGGCTAGAGTCTAGAGTGCTTGAAAAACATGGAGCAAGCCGCTCGGAGGGACTAGAGTGTTTGAGAAGCAGGGAGAAAACCGCGAAAGGGGCTAAGAGTTTTTGAGAGAGAGGAAATAAACCCCTCGAAAAGGGACTAGAGTGTTTGAGAAGCACGGAACACGTCGCTCGGATTAGAATACTTGAGGAACAGTGAGCAACCCGCTCGAAAACAACAGGGGGCACTCTGTTCGAAACGAAAGGTACTAGAGCATTTGAAGAACAGAGAGCTAGCTACCTGCTCGAAAGGGACTAGACTATTTTGAAAAACAAGAGCAAACCGCTCGGAAAGGACTAGAGCATTTGAGTAACAGGAAGCAAACCGCTCGAAAGGGACTAGAGGGTGTGACAATAAGGGAGCCAACCTTTCGAAAGGGCCGACAATATTTCAGAGGGAGGGGGCACGACGCTCGAAATGGACTAGAGTGTTTGAGACATGGAGCAAGCCGCTAGAAAGGGACCAGAGTGTCTGAGAGCTTGACAGGGACTAGAGTGTTTAAGAAACAGCGAGAAAACCGTTCGAAAGGGACCAAAATTTTTTGAATAACAGGAAGCAAGCAGCTCGTCAAGGGACTGGAGTAGTTGGGAAACAGGGAGAAAACCGTTCAAAAGGGACTACAGTGTTTGACAAGGAACAAACAGTTCGAAAGTGACTAGAGTATTTGCGAAACAGGAAGCAAGCCGTTCGAAACGTGACTGGAGTTTGTTGAGACACAGGGAAAGGCGGGAAAGGTAGTCAGGGATAGGAATTTCTTGACCTTGGCAAACACCCGGCACAGTGACTGTTAAGAGGAGTGAGCCCAGACATTGCAATTCGCAGGTTGACAAACCTAAGCCTAAAACAGCGCTGCGCGTGCCAAACTACACGGGGGCAACGCAAGGAGGAAGAGCCAACTGGTTGACCTTCGTGGTTAAGACCTTTGACAACCATTTATGTCCAAAACCATGAACCTTTGTGACGTTGCCCCTCTTATCTGGTCTAATGCATTGGTGTTGCTTCCTAGGCTTGGCGAGCAAGACATCTTGGATAGCAAGGAAGTCTAGACGAGGAATAAACTCAAAAACACAGTAGCTGCAAGTGACCATTGTCGCGGCCAGTGATGACCTTCAAAGCCGTGACAAATCTACAGTACCCACGAACACATTCATGGGTGTCACTATCATGTGTCATTGCAGCCGCCACCTTGAACCCCCCGCGCCTCCGCTGTCGCCCGTGATGTCTGCCGCCTCCCGATACTTGCCGCCACCATCCACGGCCGCCCACCACAGCCGCCACGCCAGCGTCAACACACCTAATGCACACCACCGCCGCCTGCAACCAGCACATCATGATGAATCCGTGGTGGAGGGAAATCGATTTCATGCCTGCTGTAAGTACGGCGACCGGCAAGTTATCTGCCGCCGTATGTAAGAACCACATCCCAGTAGACGCACTTTGATCGCAATGGGGTGCCTGCACGAATAGTTTTAATTCGTCCTCAGGAGTAGTCGGTGCGAATCAGACACCTGACAGCGTCCAGGGCTCGAACGATTGGGAGCTCCTTGGGTCGGCTTAGTTTGGGGTTCAAGGTTAGGGAGTGACAGGGTGCAGGGATTAGCGATTTTTGGCTTATGCATAAGGGACTGAGATGTTTGGGTTTACGGTGTAGGGCCCCAGGGATTAAAAATTAAGGCGTGCTGTAAGGTTTGTCCGAGTATTACAAAGGTTTGGATTAGTAGACCGTTTATTTTCTGGGCGGCTACAGTGCCAGGTTTGGGTTTGGCACAAGCTCAGAGCATTTCAGACGAGCACCCACCCTAATTTAGGCTCTTCCTCTAACAGTAACTCTTTACATGGTTTTTGAACAGTTAATTGGGTGGTAGTTGAACAGTTAACTGGGTGGTAGTTGAACAATTAATTGGGTGGTAGTTGAACACTTAATTGGGTAGTAGTTGAACAGTTAACTGGGTGGTAGTTGAACAATTAATTGGGTGGTAGTTGAACAATTAATTGGGTGGTAGTTGAACAATTAATTGGGTGGTAGTTGAACAATTAATTGGGTGGTAGTTGAACAGTTAACTGGGTGGTAGTTGAACAGTTAACGGGGTCGTAGTTGAACAATTACCGGTGGTAGCTACTGGTATTTGAACAATTATTTTAATTATTTTGGGTGGTAGCTAGTGGTAACTGAACAATTAATCTGAACGGTTAGTTGGATGATATAGCTTGATATGGGCTTGATATAATGATATAACCCATAGCCCACACGGCTATTTCAGACCTTTCGAATCCATCTGAAATCCCTCGAGATGAGTGCCTCCACGATGCGGCCAACTTGTCATTTCCTCCTCTCCATCGCTTGCTAGGTGTGTCGAAAGCAGGCACGATTCTGTACACCCGCTGCTGCAAGATTGGCAGATGCAAGTGCCACGAACGATTGTCCCAATCAGCTCGAAACTTGATCTGCAAGGCGAGCCCCTTTGTTGGAGATAGACTATCGAACATAATGTAAAACCGTACATACCGTAACCTACCGAAACGAATAATGGCAATGGACGACTGTCTAAAATACAATACGAGGTTAGTGGATTCTTCGTTGACAAATTGACAATTGTCAATGGTAGTATCCCAAACCGTGACTCGGATGGCAGAGTACAGTATGGTGGGCTGGATTTTCGCACAGCTTCGATATGAAGTCGCAAGCTCTAAGCTTTAAGCCAAAGCATAAGTTGAAGCAAGGTTGTATGCCGTATACGGTATAAATTATAAATTATATGCCGTATTGAAACCTAGACTCGGGACGAATGCCTAGTGATTATTCGGATCTTTCCTTGTAGATGGCCTTGCCGGTATTTGCGGGATTACTGCCTCGTGCCTATTGCCAAGCTCATTGCCTATTGCATAATTTTCATTAAATGTTTTATATGATTATATAAATATTTGTATTATATTATATTATATTATATTATATTATATTATATTATATTATATTATATTATATTATATTATATTATAATTATAATTATAATATATCTATATTATAGATTATATAAATATAAATATATATATAATCTTTCATTTCCACAAATAACCTTTCCCTACAGGGCTCATGCCAAAGAGAGATCCTACTCGAATTAGTCGTCCAATCACTGTGCCGGCTTTCCGGAGAGGATTGATGCACAACGACGTGTCAACACAGAATGCACCGACCATCCGCGCTTTCGAATGCCATTGTTGGCTCTTTGAACCAATGCTTGCCTGGTCTCGCCGGTTTTCAGTGTCCGACAGCAGGCCTGAGCGATGGTGGCATTTGCTACTGCACACTGAATGAGTCCAATCGTGAAGGGCTTCACATCCGGAGCATTCAACTCTTTCAACTCGGCTTTTAGCTCCTGGATGCTGACCTTTGAATTGGAATCAGCTGTCAGGAATGCTTTCAACTCCCGAATGCTTGCATTGGCCGCATCAGCCACCTCGCGAAAATCGGCACCACACCTAAACTCATTCTGACCAGCTGGAGTAGCAGCTGCTGCAAGACCCACAAGGAACCTCTGCAAGCTATCAACCATCTCCACACCATGGGAAAGGAACAAGTAGGATTTCTGCATAGCGAGGCAATTGCACATCCTATCCGTGAGCTGGGGATCAATCTTGCCTTCATCCAATGCTGCATTGAATTCAAGGATGCCGTCGAACTGCTTGTAGGAATTCTGCAACATCTCACGAAGTTCCCGAAAATCTACGATTGCAACCTCAATCATCTTCAGGAAAAGCTGTGCTCCCTTGGCCTGCATACCACACACGAAATGGGCGGCGACGGCCTGCTGTGTAATGTTGGCACCATGAGAAGCCCGTCGCACACAATGCATGAACTTACCTGCTTCGTGCTCCTTGCTAGCCAAAACACTCATAACACAACCGGAAAACATCTCCTCGGGTCGGCTGCCGGGCTTCTGCAAAGCAGCTGCAGTGGAAGTCAGCTCGTGAAGGGATTTTGTCCACTCGGACATGTGGACGAGCATCTTCGCCAGAGGAAGAACTGCCCCTGCTGCACAGATAGCCGAACTAGGCAACTCGACATCACCATGCTTAAGAGGACACCAATTGTCGGGCAACTCCATGTAGTAATTCTCAAAGATTCCCGTGAAATCCAACATAACCTTGTCTTCATCACCCTGGAACTCGCCGACGATGGTGTTCATCTCCTTGCTCTTCTCATATCCGGACAAGAACATGACGAAATGGAGGAATCCTTGTGCTTCGGCAGCCACGACCAACCTTGGGATGATATGATTTGATATGTGACATATGTGATATGACTCAATGGTATTATGGAATTATAGTCTTATGATAAATTATACAATCTAATCGGAGAGGAGAATGCATGGGCTGAGATTTACAAGCAATTTACAATTCACAACTTGACATGGTGGTGGTACCAGACCATATGTTATGTTCGCAATGCACATCGAGAAACCAGGATTGTGCCAACAACAAACTCCCAACCCCAGAACCCTTAACCCAACCACCAGACCATGTCAACTTAGCCGTATTTCTTTTTTTCTTAGCCGCGACCCTCAAACCTAAAATCTGGGCCTCGAAATCTAAACCCAATTACCCGGCAACCCCGGCAAAGGTATTAGTATTAATAAATTTCATGGGCCTTTGAATTTCTTCCTAGACTGCCCTATACGACAATTAGCCCTTCGCCCCTCCCCCTTTTCCCGCCGGCAAACCTAGCTTAGATTGATAGACCTCTAATGCATTCTGGCGGCATGGCATTCTGGCAAACCTTCTGTACAAGAGCAGAAAGCTTCTCGTGAATCTCGGGCACCATCTCTTGCAATGCTGATCTCTTGGTAGCACTTGCCCAAGCTTCCATGAACTTAAGCATCTCGGCATGCAACAAACGGGACGGAGAGAACTGACCTGCATCGCTGCTGGCTTGCAACAAGGCAACAAGCCCTGGAAGGGCAGTCGCCAAAATTCCGAAGAATTCTTTCACATTCGTTATGACGGAGATCACATCTTGGGATTGCAAACCAATGCATTTCTGCAGCACACTCTGGGAGCAAGGTGCAAAAGATTTGGCGAAATTCACCTTCTCGATGAGATTGGCTGTGATATCTGCTGTCAGGTTCTCCGAAAGGGCCATGTTCAAGACCTCAAGCAATTGATCACCACATAGCAGCTGGAACTTCCGGGCACATGCCTTGGCCAAGGCAGACTTGACCTCCTGCATCTTGGTGTCGACCAAAGCCATCTGGGCCTCAAATTCTTGCATGAAATTGGCCGAGGCTGTATTCTGAATCATATTCATCTTCTGCACAACTTCGCAAAGCTTAGCCTGTCCTGGAACTTGGATTGTGATGTCGGGGGCCTCGCCCTTCAGCAGCAAATCCATTGTGAAGCTTTTCATCTGAGCACAAGCAGTGATACAGGAGTCCAAGTCACTTGCAAGAGCCTTGTCACGATGAAAAGCCTCAAGCCCAGCATTGCACATCTGTTGGATGAACTGACCTAATGGAAATAATGTCATGCATTCATGCAGTGCGGCTTTCTTGTGCAGCAACGACATACGAGCACTTTTCAGTGTGTCGACTTCATCAGCAGGGATGGTTCTCTCACCCATGCATGCTGCATCGGCCACCTTCTTCAAATTCTCGATCTCCACGACGAATGGCGCCACAGAGGCATGTTGGGACCAGGAAGTAGACAAAGACGAATCCAGGAAGAGTTGCAAGAACTCCTTCACACCACTGGCCAGCTCCAAAGCCCTTGCCTTTGTAGCCTGCAGACTCTAAGACTACAACACTCATATCGATCATTCTTCCAACCAACAACACATAACTTCCGGAGACCCCAAATACAAAAACAAAAAACCAATCCCAATCCCCAAGTCCAAGCCCCAACCCCCAATCCACAAAACCCCCAAGCCCAAAATCCTAAACCCCAAACTCCATTTCCCAGACCCCAAACCAAACCACAAAGCCTAAACCCCCGTGATAAGTTTATCAAGTTGTTGGAGTCATAGACATGGGTATCCATCCTTCTCAAAGGAGCCTGGAGTTCTGAGCTACAAATCTAAAACAAAACGAGCCCTTAACTAAACTAGGACCTAGACCCCTCTCCTAGCGAACCCAATGGGCTCTTCAGACTGCCATGCTGCACACTACACACTTGCACCAGGTGGGACTTGTAGTCTAGCAGATATACCAAAGAGTTTTCGGTATAAGTCGCATAATATAATATAGTAATATCTAATATCTGATTGAGAGTTACAAGCTTATGAGGTTCGCGCTTTTCGGGTTTAAGACTTAAGTTGAAGGCTTAGACTAAAGGACCTAGACCATAAGATATCATTCTTATGATTGACTACAACCTATAGTTAAAGTATAACCTTAAACCCTAAACTTATAGTCCTTATAGTCTTATAGCTATACTTATAATCTAGGCTACTCATAGTTAGATAACTATAACCATAAAAGAGCAGAGGCATAGGTTTGGGAGCACCTGGTTCTTGGTCGCCTCACGATGGGCTTTCTCTTCCTCGGAGATCGGCTGCGACTGCACATCGGGATCGGGCTGATCGGACTGCACAGAGACTTCTTGCTGCAGGAGTTTAGATAGCGAGGATCGGAAAGAGCAGAATTGGAACTCAATGAGGGCATCTTGCTCAGGACCGTTCCCGAACATTGCTGCAATTGCATCACCTTGCAACATGTCAAAGAAGCCTTGCCAATCTCCAGCCTTGCACTTTTCCATCAAGGCTCGGGCATGGTACATCTGCTGCAAGCTTTCCGGTAACGAAATGCCTGCACTCTTGGCTTCCTCGATTCCCTCTAACAATGTAGCCGCACTCGCTTCCACATCATGCACTGCTGAAACCACCTGACAAAGAGCCGGAACCTCTGAATTTGCAGAAGTGAGCTTTCGCATAGTTGTCAGGGCCCTCTCAGTGTCGACTCCAGATCCGGACGATGACAACTCCCTCAAGAGCTTCAGGCACTCTTCACTACTTCGACCCTGCAACTTCTCAGACATGGTCGTCACCTTGGCAAAGGATATACCCATGAAAGAGGCATCATTTGCGAAAGCCGCCTTCATGCTGTCATACTGTTGCAGGATCCTGTCCGTGATGTCCAACTCCTTGGAGCCCTTGCATGATCCCTTGCCCCTAGCTTTTCCTTTGGAACGGAGCTTGCTAGTCCCGCCGAACAGCCATGACGAAGAAGCTCCAAACTGAGGAGTCGAGGAATCTGGCAGGCTGCTTCCATCATCTCCGGGTGCATTGATAGTCAGAGTAGCAGAAGACAGCCGGGACCCCATTCCGCCGAAAACTCCAGCCTTGGCTGCTGCCTCTTTGCGAGGACGTTTGGTGGCCTTCGTCGTAGCCTGAGAAGATTCGTCCTTCTCATCGTCATTCGTAGAAGCAGCCGTCGAGGACACAACACCCGATACTCCCCAAATGCCGAAGAAATCATCCAAATCTTCCCTGGCCTTCTTCTTACCCTTGAGCACACCGTTGCCCTGCTCATCGTGGGTCAACTTCAACTGCTTGGTCAGACCCTGGTGGATCTCATTAGCCTCATCTTGCTCCTCAGCCTCACGATCACAAACATGATGAGACCTCACCGCCGCGACCTGGCTGTCCTGGGTCACCTCGATGGCACCCACCCCATTGCAATCCCGCATAATCCCAGTAATGGTCTTGCCGAAGTGATTCACAGTCTGTCGTGGGCCTTGGGCCCACAGGTCCTGCAGCCCGTGCTTTTTCAAAAGCGCCTGAGGCCAGAGGTACCCAAGCAATTGCTTGGTATTGACAGCATTGCGAACCTCGCCGGTTACTTGGGTTGAACGATCCGAATTCTTGCTACGACGGGCACCATTCCGCCTACCTTCCTCCCAAGTAGAGAGGCCTTCGTTGTAGGCATCTTCATCTTCAGCAATCTTTGCCAAAATCTCCGCACTGGACATCCCCTGGAACTGTGGGTCCGAGGAACAGTAGGAATAGCAAGGCTGACAGAAGTTAGACTGGCCCCTTCGTTTCAAGCAGTTGTCGGCAGCAGGGTCCTTGACAAGCGGATTCAAGGTTGTCCAAGGACGTTTGCATCGGGTACAGCCTCCGGGAGCAGCTCTAGGCATTGCAGCTTCTATCGCACTGTGGCGACCCAGCTACGAATTACGATCTAACGAGAGCCTATCGTGCAAGCTGAGACTCGAGCACAGCACCCCATGAATCGAGCGAAATTCTGGCTTTGCACATCGCCCCCTGCAACTCCACACAGGCTCACGAACCACTGCGAATCACTGACAGCGATTGACCGGATGGATCATGTGTCAGCACAGCACATTACCACAGTATAGAATAGTATAGAAGTATAAAAACCAACTAACTAGCAACACTGCCCCGACATTGTCAGGAGAAGCCCGGCTAGATTTTAGATTATTTATTTAAAACTTATGTATTGTCTTTTGCCCTTTCGGATTGGATCAGAGCACAAACAGACTCATGAACTTCTCTCGGTCTCTCCTCGTGGTTTCACTGTTTGTTTTGCCCCAGGACACACAGAAGTACTGCCGTACACCGCCATAGGCCTTAGGCCTGCATCTGCAAGAGTAGCACAGTGTGTTGCTTGACGATTGGGCTTAAATGAAACTCGTGCAAACCCAGTCTTTGCAAGATCAGAAGACTACTGAGAATTCCGCCTAATAATAGTAAGCCTAAGTTAATCCTGGTGGTGTTCTTCGTAGCCTTAGTGGGGGGTGGTAGTAATCTTACTAACAGTAGTAGCATCGGCAGAAGCACTAGGAGTCGCAGTAGTAGCAGCGGCAGAAGCATGAGGTCTCGCAGTCGTAGTAGTAGTAGTAGTAGTAGCAGTTGTTGTTGTTGTCGTCGGAGGAGGAGTAGTCCTAATAACAAAGTAAAGTAATAGTATCGCCATCGCAGTAGGAAAGCCACAGCGGCGGCAGAAGCATTAGGAGTCGAAGTAGTAGCAGCAGCAGAAGCACTAGGAGTCACAGTACTGGTAGAAGTAATTGTCAGATATAGTAGAGTAGTTGTCAGTAGTAGTAGAAGAAGTAGTGGTCGTAGTAGCAGTAGTAGCAGTATAAGTCGTCGTCGTCGTCGTAGTAGTAGTAGTAGTAGGAGGAGTATTATAATTATAGTCATAGTCATAGTAGTTGGCGGTGTTGTGGTCGTGAGACCAGTAGCAGTGCTATAGTGATCGTTGTCGTCTTAGTGCGAATTTTAATACTAGCAGTATGTTCCTAAAACAACCGCAACACTTTGCTTGGCCATCGGACCGACTGTGTAGCAGCCTGTCCCTGCTGGATGACCTTCTGTTGTCACTACACTGCAGTCGCCAGTCGCTCTGCTGCAGTCGCCAAGAAAACACTGGGCCCCTATGATCGCAGGCTATTGATACCCAATTATTCCCGAAGCTAAAGTATCTAATGGATCCCTGGCATAGTCGGCTAGGCTTGACGACTGGCAGAGGGTTCATTGGTCTAGTGCGACCTCGGTATGCAGCGGGGTTCCTTTTCGGTAGTCGGAGGGCGGGATCGCATGCCGGGACATAGTCTGTAGCCTATGCTGTCTATGCTTCAATAGCTTACAAGGATCCAGTGAGGGAGCTGCAGTATTGTTAGGGGATATCTGACAGGTCAGGCTGGGCTTCGGAATAACAGACAGAGTCGTAAGAACATCACAGCAGCATGCGAACTTCTTGCTCCGGAGCAGGTAACTATGGACATAGACCAGAAACTCGGTTTATCACTTCAATCACACATCGACCCAAGGTAATACAGACATCACCCAACGACTTGACTATGACATACATATATACTACCGGGTTACTACCGACCACAACTCGGATAAGGCCACAGTGAAGAATATAATATGCTACGATGACATATGCAAACTGCAAAGCCGGTGGGCGAAGTTCAGCATCAGCAGTACTGATAGCCTGATAGTCAGTCAATGCCTAATAATAACAGCAGTCTCAGACCACACATTCAGCCACTCGAAATAACCTTGACCGTATCATCCCGTATCGCCTACATGAATCCTAGGTCTTTAAATTCGACCAATCACAGGGATCGGGAATAGGCCAAGAAAGGGGTCCTATCTTCATGATAACCTCGGAGACCCCTGCCAACAAGACAGCATCACGTGCCGCCACAAGGCTCTGGCAAATTGATCTTGCAACATGGTCTCCCAAGAAAGAAGCATATTCTATCAAACCTATGATTGCCCAGATATAAAATCACTTCGTAGATGTCGTGCTGCTTCTCATAACAAACGATGTGACATATATGCCACACATACAGAGTAATATAAATGTAAATAGAATTTATACTATGATGTAGGTTGGATGGGTGAAGTTATATTATTATAATACATTTTTTATACAATATATATAATATAACATAGTATAATATAATATCATATAATATAATATAATATGATATAATATAAAATAATATAATATATAATATATAATATATAATATAGAATATAGAATATATAATATATAATATATAATATATAATATAGAGTATATAATATAAAATATATAATATATAATATATAATATATAATATATAATATATAAATATATAAAATATAAATATAAAAGTATATAAATATAAAAGTATATAAATATATAAATATATAAATATATAAATATA